TGCGTTCTGCGCCAATTATTATTAGGAGATTTTGAGCATAACGCGCGCGCGCGAGGCACACACTGTAATGGCCAAGGGTGATTCTCAAAACATGAAGTAAAATCGTCGAAGAAAATCGTTAGAAATTTGTGAATTTTTGACTTTTTGACCGAAAGGTATTTATGCATGGGAATAAATTATGTGCTTGGCTGGTTTTAAGCAAGTACGTTTAAAACTGGCTGGGGGCCAAGCAGATAAATCACATTATTATTGTTGTGCAATCCTTCTAAAGTCTGCTGGCGTTTGTCCCCATTTTTGTTATCAAGCGACCGATAAACAAGAATACATCTACATCAAAAAATGACCGCACACGGGGATATCTTGTGAGCTACGTGCTGAGCAAATGATTTCGAATTACTTTTTGCTCAGCACGTATTGCTCTGGTGCGGAGGGGATTCAAATACGTTTATCAAGTTAGGCGCAGGATCTTCATAAAGCAAGTACGTCTTAATATGATGCACGAGCCGCACATAAACCACGGTAGTTCTCAATCCATTGCTGAAGGACATTTCACATAATAAATCAGTCTAAGTCGACTGAAATATGCGACTTTGGGACTCAGTGCTGTAAGATGTTTACAAGTATAGCTATACATGACAACAGCCATTTGGCAGGGAGTGGAGATACAGACAATATCGTATATACGTATCTTTGTAAAAAGTTATAACCATACTGTATGGCCTACATGTGTTTATTTCTGGATGGTTGGCAAGACAACGTATCGGAATAAATAGGAAGGTAATTGTGCAACAATGGCATGAGAATATAACAAGCGATGCCAAATTATGGACATATGGACGTGGTTCTTCTTGTGGCTATATACTGACACCGGATTGATTCATGAACATACATTCCCGTGTTGAGGTTTTATATCCCGAAAAGCAGATACCTTTTCAAAATTCCTCTTCTTTTAGCAGTACGAAGGTTATCATACTTTTATGAGACATTGACAAGACAGAACAAATCGGCCCATAAAGAGTTATTCAATTATTACTTTACAAGTTCGAATGGTTGGCTGATTCCCGTTCGTAGGCTTGCTCCCGCCCCACAATCAGTATCAATAATGTACGGAGCGGGATCCAGTCTACTACTCGGAAAGCGGATCATCTGTTTGTGCCCAAAACAGTAACCCTTTTTTCAGATGTTTGCAGGCGTCCAATAAAAGTGGAAAAACTGTTTTGATTGTTGGAATAAGTTGAAAATGTATCCATAACAACAAAATCGAATTTGTTGAAGAACGAGCACAGGGAACGCAGCTTTAATTTTGGAAAACGTCTCAATATCAGAAACGCTTTCAGTTTTGACATATATTATAATGTCCATAGATAGATAGATAGATAGATAGATAGATAGATAGATAGATAGATAGTTAAATGGTTTATTAAATCAGCTTTCTCGCCACCTGTAGCGGAATAAATTGTGTGAAGCTGTAGCAATATGAAGAACTGATATATAGAATAATAATATATATAAAGAATGCATTAATTTAAATATACTAAAAAGTAATCATTACAATTATACTATTAAGAAATGATGAAGCTAAAATTCAAGGACCCCAAAATTGATAATAGCAAATCAACAATTACATATCTAACACATTAAAATGCAGTAAGAAATTGGGTGAAAGGACATCGACATAAATTATGGTGGGAAGGGAAAGGCTACATTATTCGGGAAGGGAATGGGAATCCACAGTAATGTTTGGAATATAATTTGGGATATTAGGATAAGCAAGGGTAAAAATCAAACTTATCCTTTAACATTTAAAAATGTCAGACACAGTGAACAATGAATAAAAATCTCAAAATATACAATGTAGGTGAGCTGCTGTCAAAAGTTACCTTTAACCCATGCACAAGTCACGGAATTAATTAATCGGATTAAGTACGGGATTGCACTATTTCTTAATCTATTTGTTTTGCATCTTGGTTCAGACACTAGCTTGGACCGGCGTAACACTTTACTCGTTTGAGGTTGTGGGATAAGATGCGCCATGTTCTCATTACACATCAAGTTTCTAGCAAATCCAAGGCACAGTGATCTACGACGGTCAGTCAATGTTTCTAATTTAACTGAATCTAATGCACTTATGTAATCATTGTATTCTGCACCTAGAGTTAATTTGAGGACACGCTTTTGTATTTTTTGTCCAGTTGGTTTTGTTGGTGATTTGAAATTGCACCATTACAGGAAGGAACTGATATTTAAGTAAGGGGCGGAGATACCCTTTATAGACAATTTATAGTAATTAAATCTTCAATTGGCAGACCGTGGCCTTTTAAGGCACGCACTGTGAAAACGGCCATTGGCGCGTTGAAGTTTTTGATTCATATGAGTGTCCCATTTAAGGTCTTGCAGGATGTGTAACCCTAGCAGTTGGACAGTTTGTGATTGTCCCAGGACGTCATCATTGATGTAAATAACAGGCGTTGCTGGGGGCTCCTTCATGAAATTGATTTCCATAGTGGTGCATTTTGTAGGGTTGAGAGACATATTGCTGTTTTGTGACCACTGAACTAGGGTATTCACGGTCTCTTGAAGACTAGGTTGATGAATAAGATGAACAAGGAATACGATGATTTAGAAACTAAAAGGAAAACCCCCCGAAAGAAACAGAAGCATAAACACTTCCGGTTTAACACACACCTGAGGTATCCATTACTATGTTGGCGGTTTCCAATATTTCCTTCGTCAATATCTTTGTTATCAGGGGCGATAGTTAAAGCCCATCTATGCTATTTAGCCATAAAGATCACGCTCAAAGTTACGTTGCCAGCAACATTAGCAAAAAGAATGAACTATTTCGGCCGTATTTTCAGCTTAACAATAATATGCGCGGTTGGGTAAATCAATTAAAATCATAAAAAGAAATCTCTTAATTTTTTTTCAGCGGAAGTCGAAGATGAAATTACAAATTTTCCCGGTCAATCTCAACATAAAGTCGTTCGATTCAATGCCATGCCCGTTCCATTTCAAGTGAATTTGAACGCTGACTTCATCTTCATTCAATCGTCGTTCTCTCGACAAAAAGTTAATTGTACAAGAGGTTGATCAAGAACTCAATTTGATCGATTGACAAAGATTCAAATTCGTTCCTGTCGCGGGCATAAATCCTGGATTTTGGGTTTGGGTGCACCCATATGGTTGCGAGGGTGAAGCTTGGCTGGTTGTCAAGTTGAGCTAATCCGATAACGTACTTAGACGCTGTAACAGTGCAGTGAAATTCGTGTACCCTCAAAAACATGACCTTTTGAACGTTGTGTTTCTCAGAAAATATGCTCAGTATAATTAAAATGTTAAATTATAACCGAAGAAGAAATTCTAAACTTCATGTCAGTGAAAAAAAATCGCCGTCATCGATGCCGAAACCTCAATACTGGTAACTGGTAAAGCAGACCTTCAAGTCTGGAAGAAATCGTTTGAAAACGTCCCCAAATCTATGTATTTATATCAATTTCTAGGAATTTACGAAAGTTATTATATCACGAGTAGTTGAAACTTATATCATCTCAGTATATTCCGAATTTCAGCTTAATCTGTTGGTGCTAACGCTTGTTTTACAGCTCAAAATATATCTAAGGATAATCTCGACGAGGATTTTTTCGACCCAACCCACATGCATGGTTTTCATAGCGCCGTAGGCGCTACGGCTGACCAAAATCCGGCCTGCCACGGCACAATAACGGCGGGTATATTAGCATATTCATTAGTGTCACTCGGCGTGACTTGGCGTGGGTCTCGGTATCGACAAACGGAAGCCGGCAAAAAGGGTGATATTTATCAATTAATAACTCGTGAAGGAGGCTTTTATGCAAATTTTTACTGCACACCATAGTGAGTAGTAACCTTATTAATATTTGTGAGGCTTCAAAAGATTAAAAGACATTGCTAACGCAAGTGTTACAGCTTTCAAATACGCACGTAGCCAGGCCTAGTTTTCCAATTTCAACGAAAAGTAAAGAACATATCACAACGTTTTTTAGCACATGCTTGTCTCATTATAAGGGAAATAAACCCTGAAAGTTGCATGAAGATACGGTCTTCCAAACGGGAGAAATTAGTTTTCAAAGATTTCGCCCGCCAACGTGAACATGTGTGTGTACATGTAGTTTCATTCAAAATAAAGTGTTACGTAACCTTTAGAAATCGCCCTTCGCAACCACATGGCTTGGGGGGGGGGGATATTAATCCCCCGTCCCCCCCCCCCCGCAAAAAAATAAATGTATACCAGGGGGGATGGACCATTGGATCATTGCCGTGATCCCCCAGATTTTAATGTTAAGGAACCAAAACTGCCGATTTGTGAGGTTTTCTTTTATAGTTATCAAAAACGGAGAACAAACATTACCGTATATACAAAAGCATTGAATGCACCGTTTTGGTGATAAGGGAAGTTAGCATACCACTTATAAGATACATATTTGTATCTTGAACAGCGCCCCTATAGTCTCATGTGGCCTCCGCGCTTTTAAAATGTTCGCTTTTCTTGCTGCAATTTTTTTTTGTCAGTAGGCCTATAGTCATGACTTTTCATTTCGCAGCTTTTTGTATTCGTTCAAATCACGGTGAGCCTGAACGTTTTGCAATTTATTTGCACGATCACATTCGATGAAGAAAACATGAAGCAAGTTTATTGAAATATATACAAAATAACAAGTGCGACAAAAAACCTAGTACTAAAATACCTCTTTTCTACATAATGAGGGTGTTAATATTCAGGTTTGGCAAGTGTTGCAAAACGCGGCTTAAATTATTACCCATGTGGACCCACCGTGTGGCAGCCCATGCAAAATGGTGCTCATAATATCAAACAAAAGAAAGGTAAATGTCATGGAGTTATCATAAATATTACTCGGTAAACGTCCGATTTACTTCTTTACGCGCGTGGTTTTTTTTATGAATAGTCTTGATAACAAGTCGGTGTACATGCTCCACACGTTCGTCTTTCATTAGGTGCCTCGGGCAGTTTCTCAGCCAGCTGTTGCACCTTTCGTAAGAGGCCAGATCCGCGCTACCCGATGGAGACCCGCTGGTTCCCGCAAGTGAACGATTCCTCCTGCAGTGAATGTCCACAATTACATCTCTTGCAGAGGATACCAGCTGACTCGTCCTATCCCGAGGATTTCTACAAACCACCTTGGAAAACAGATACAAAAGGTATTTGATTTCTGCTGTAAATAGACTTCACTCAAGTCGGATTTATTTCGATATCCACAACACCGGTTGCCATCACAACCAGCCCTAATTTCATCACCAGTATCAAGTGTTGTGTGTATAGGGCCTACTAAAACACCGACTTAGGCCAAGTCTATATGCTATATAAGAAGCCAAAACAGAAGACTGATCAACTGTCCTCAAGCTTTATAATTATGGAGAAATGCAAGTAGATCCCGGGTTTTTTTTTTTGGCCTAAGTCAAAAATGCTACTCAGTAAGTGTGTCAGTGAGAAAAACAAAGAGGACTTTAGGCTGGCCGGCTTGCGAATTTTCTTTTCCCAAACTCCATCCACATACATGGTAGTTTAGCGCCCTCTACGATACTTTTATGATACGTAGGCAGGTATATAAAAAAAAAGCCCCCCCCCCCTAGGATTTGACGTGTAATGCGATAGCTAGCTCAGTCGATAGAGTCGTGATTTTGCACCGCAGGGTTGTTGGTTCGAGTCACCGTAACTGTTCCCCCAATTTTTTTTCTTTTCTAATCTGAGGCTTAATTCGGAGGATTTTTTTAAAGAGAATTAGAGTCCGAATTTCATTACGTTCGAATTCATTTCTTTTTTTACTAAATTTATATTTTCTTCTCCATGTTTTTAGAGAAGTGAAGTCCAAAACGCCATAGCGTACATCCATAATATGCGGAAGTCGTTTGAGAAAAACAATTCGCGGCCCTCCTGGAACCAACAAAAATGAAATCAAGGAAATAGGCCTAAACACTAACACTATTTTCATGTTGAAAATGAGGTCTTTTGTTTTCAAACCATGCAACCTTATCTTCTTTGCATTGGATTTTTTTTTACTTGACAGCGTTGACTCGACCCATCTTTAATTGTTTGGGTTGAGAAGTTTGTCTCCATGATTTCCGATTTTATCTCAGATCATTTATTTTGTTTTGCTCCACAGCTTGTGCCGATCCATTAGGAATGGAGAATGGAGACATTCCTACGGAAAATCTGTTTGTCTCTGATGCAGGTCATTACGATTATGACAAATGGAAGGCTCGGCTGAATTATCAGGGTAAACTTAAATCTCTGACGTAATCAAATCACTGCTAAGCTATAGTATTCCAGCCCAGCCCGGCCCGGCCCAGCCCGGCCCAACCCATGCAGCCCAACCCAACCCTACCCAACCCATCCCAACCCAACCCAACCCAACCCAACCCAACCCAACCCAACCCAGCCCAGCCCAGCCCAAACCGCCACCACACACAACACAACACAACACAACACAACACAACACAACACAACACAACACAACACAACACAACACAACACAACCAAACCAAACACAACCCAACACACACAAACGCAATCCAACCCAACACATCCCAACACAACCCAAATTTAGCCAATAATTAGCCACCCTTTTGCCTATTAGCTGCCTGGTGTGCAAGGCCCATAGATACGCACCAATGGATCCGTGTCGACTTAAGCAAATCAACTACAGTGACAGGACTCATCACACAAGGAAGGCACTCCAGTGATGTCTGGACCAAGACATACAAAGTCAAGTACAGCTCAGATAAGGCGGCCTGGGCCTATGTCACTGACAAAACCGGCAACCCAAAAGTGGTAAGCTGTGGGAATTTATTTATACCACCCTTTTTGTAATCAAAGTGATCGCTTTTGATTTTTATGCGAGGTTTATTTTCTTCTAGTGCTCCAGAATGCTCCATAATGACTTTCTCAACAGCGTTATTAAAATAGTTCTGACAGGGTAAATTTGGAGTCAAAAGCTGTAACTTTAGCAATAATTTGACCCATTCCCCCTTCTTTCTCAGGGTCCAATTCTGACTTTCTTTTTGGTGAACCCGATTATTATATAGTTTCCGGGAAACACGGATGATGAATCTCAAGTAACTGTCTATTTCCCGGCGCCTCTGCACACTCGCTTCATCCAAATTGAACCGCAGTCTTGGGCAAGGTATATCTGCATTCGCTTTGAGCTGCTTGGTTGTAAAGGTAAGATTGTCAACTCCTTTTAACGTTTCTAAACGTTTTTTTAAACGTTTCTTAACAATTCTAAACGTTTCTAAACGTTGCTTATATGTCTGATTTAACTGTCGGAAAGATCCGCATCGAACGCTTATGAATTAAGTTTAGTATGAAACACAGTCATATAGCAACTATTAAAGTTCTTTTGCACCCTTTTGTTGTTGTCATTGTTTATTCAAAACATCTTCCGCCATTTCAAGAAGATTCCTTTCTCTTTCTAAATTTCTTCCTCTCCAAAAGAGTAAGACTGCGTGGCCAGGGAGCGCTGAGTGGTTCATGTATAAGATGCCAGAGCGAAGGGGGTGAGGTTGAAGACGTGACCTTAATTAATTCACTATGAGTTTTTTGTGTGAAAATTTTATTGGATATTAAATTGTGTGCAGTGTGTATATTGTAATCATGCTAAAGTAGTAAAGATAAAGTAACGTGAACATGTGTACATTGTATTGCATGACAGTTTGAATGTAAAACGTTCTACACAGGGTGAGTCAAAAAGAAAATGTCAAAGTTAGAAAACATGTCAAACTACACATTTGCGTTTGTCGAGTTACAAACGCAGGGTGATCGGCCCGGGCTCACGCAGTTAACTATTCATGTGACATTTTCCAGTTAAGTTGTGAATATTTTAATGTCAGAACAGAAATAATAAGAATCACGAAATTCAGCCTTTCCAGTTGAACCATTTCTTGTAATTTGAAAATGTAATGCATATTTCGGATTTGAAAAATTTCAGTACACAGTTTACAGTCTACACCTTATTTCCGGTTTGCAAACATCATCCGTTACGATGTGCAAATTAAATATTGATTTAGTTCAACATAATCAACCCTGATTCCGAGTGGTGCATATTACTATGACGTCATGATGGCGTCACCACTAGCCACTAGCGGCAGAATTTGACAAGATAGTTTGAACTAGGCCTATATCTTCTGAATTAAGTAGAGTATCGTGTTCGCATATTTATCGTATTTTTCGTGAAGTGTTATGCGGTGCCTTGAGCAACATTTCTAATTTCTAGGCATAAAAACCGTGGCTTGACGGCCTGCAATTCCGGTGTTACCGGAAGTGCCATCAAAACTGAATATTACTCGAAACCAGAAGCATTTTACCACAGACATATAAATTATGGAAGTGTTTAGTGAGGAATGCAAAACACATAAAAACACCATAATGACGCCATCACCCAAAAGGGCGCGCTCTCGAGGCACATCAGTTAAACTTGTTGAATGTTGTATAAACATTTTACAAAATTATTGCCCCTAGACAACCGCAAATGAATTTGCAGTTTTGCACCATCATTAGATCCCTGTCTAATGACTATTTTCGTAGCACAAATAATGATACCACAATGTTGACCTTGGGCTGTCAAATGCCATGACGTCATCAAATCGGAAGCTCGGTGTTATTAACAAATACACTTAACATTCATTATAATTTCGAAATTTTCAAAAGATTCTTTTTTCAGGCTGATGACCATGTATCCTCTCTGAACTAAATCAGTATTCAATTAGCACATTTTAACTGATGACGTCATCAAACCGAAAATATGTGTACGTGTACAAAAAAGTGTATCCTGACATTTATCATTACCCCAAAAATGCATTTTGTTGAAAACAAAACAATGGTTGTACCGGAAAATTTCGATGATCCTATTTCTGCTCTGACAAAAATATTCAGTACTTAGGCCTAACTGGGAAATGTCTAATGAAATAGTTGTCTTCCCGATCACTCTGTGCGTTTGTAACTCAACAAACGCGAATTAGTTAGGATTGTTGTCCCTCTTACCATTTCACTTAATGTTATTTTACTTGTTATAAAATGAAAAGAAAAATTATAGCCTAATAGAGTAAAATGTGTGAATGTTTTGCTGTAGAATTTTTTTTCAAGTTTGACTGGTATCGTCTAGCTTTTTTTTTTTTTATCTAACATGATCTAGCTCCTCAAAGGTTCGCCTGTTAATTGTTGATTGGTACATTTTGGTAAGATTTTTTTTTAAGTGATCAAAATTTACCGCAACCCAATTTTGGGGGCATCTGATAAAAGATTTCTATGTAGTCGTTAGTTTTTTTTTAGGAGACGAACAAAAATGCATGGTTTTGTGGAATTTGTTGTATATAATTTTTGTGTTTGTGTTGAATTCCTTGTATTAAATAATTAAACATGGAAATAATTTATCATGCTTATACCTCGATAAATTCTTAAATTCTCATAAATTTTTCATGATGTTTTTCTTGCACTTATCATTATTGCCAGTGATAATACCTTAGAGGGTCATAACACTGTTCCAGGTATTATTGTACGCTATTATTGCCGTACATCACAACGAGCAATATAAATAGCACATCAACTTAACTTGGGTGACTGGGCGTATAATTATATATGATCATTTGCATTTATCCCAAAAGTCACATACTTTTCAAAAGGCCTACTTGGATTAAACATCGTAATGTGAAATCATTCCGTCTGGCTTGCTGTCATTTAGAAGGAATCAAGAAACGTAGGTGATTTCCAACGATGAAGAGTGGTGTTGACGAAATCGTATACGTGTTTCGTGATCAAAAGGCTCTGCAAGGTTTTTAACTGAAAAGTGTCATATCCACTGAACTGAAACTTATTATATAGCAAGTTATATAGGCTTTGAATACTCTTCTTTGGATGTTGTGTGGTGTTATTATTGAATATGAACACAATGCACAGGGTGACCGTTTTAGCCGATTTTTGGCTAACTTTGACGGAATTGTTGTTAAAAAATGAATTTGACAGAAAATTTGACAGAATGGATTTTTTGGCAGGTTTCTGGCAGAATTCTGCAAAAAATGGTAATTTGACAGAAAAACAGCAAATTTGAACAGAAAATGGTACATTTTGTTTAAAAAAGCCTCAATCCTTTCAACAAACCCTTGCATAAAGGGACAGGTTGGCTGGTCTAGGTGCTGGGGTTCACTCGAAAACGGACTTCGTCGTGGCCGGATCTGCGTTTTGCCCGAAATTTACCGAATAATTTCATAACATTTTTATGTGACTATAGATTGTTTATAATGTAATTTGAACCTTAATTAAGGCAATAAAACCAATCTGCATGTGATTATAAGTGTTTGTAGTGTATTTCGAGTAATTCTGGGGAATTTGGCAGATTTTTGATAAATCTGACAGATTTTTTATGCGCATTTAGCAGAATTTGGCTCTGACCTTACGGTCACCCTGATTTTTTTCCTGGTTAGGCCACAAAAAAAAAAAAATTCGGTCTCTGGTCAGACCAAAGTTCTGGAATTGACGTGGGAACGCGGCTTTTTTTTTTTTCCTTTTTTTTTTTCTTCAAGCTTGGATTGTTCAGACAAAGTGGGGTACTATTTTGCTTTTTTTGGTGTCCTCATGTACATTGGTGTCCTCCATAATTTGCCTTGGTGCTCTCGATCATTTGCCTTGGTGCAATTCCCCATTCCTTGGTGCTCTTTGTTAAAAAAAAATGAGGAGGTGCGGCAATAGAGGGCGCTGTTGGAGCTACCGCGGAACATTTTGGAAAAAAAAAGATTGACGCGCATGATTAAAATCGACGCGCGTGCTGACCAGAGACCGACATATTTTTTTTTTGGCCTTACACTATATGGTGCGGAAAAGAATACTTCAAGTAGAAAAGTAAAGGAAAGTCATATTCACTGATATTTTTAATCTTAATAAAATAAACAAAATTGTTGTGGGCTAAAATCATTCAAAACGAGGGCCCGTGTTTATGTGCCAAGAGTCGGTCTCACTTATTGGCATAAAGTTCTCTCTTTATGCTTTTGATTTGTATATAGTGCACAAATCCGACCATTGCATATCTTCAGAACGGATCTGTTCTGAGAGTCCGCCATAGACACAGTCTTTATTTTTTTTCTTCTTCATAATACTATGCCATATTGCCACTGAAGGCGAGTGGGAAATATTGGCATTCTTGTGCCATTGCATTGAAATTGCCTAAGGTCTAAGCTCGGCCTAACACGCCTGATTGGGGAGGGGGGGGGGTGTTACGGGGGTAGCAGCCCCCCCCCCCCGTTCATATTATGATATACTAGTTTAATAGGTCGACATGAATGGAATGCTAAAGTTTTAGTCTCAATTGCCTTAGAATGAAGGAGAAGTTAAAGCATCGTAGATTCGGTTCCGGGGCATGGCACCAGACTCCTTTCCCCAAGCGGAGCGCGCATTCGGCACGCCTTCACTCACCACCCCCCACACTGAACAATTGCCTGGGTTAATTGTACCCAAATAAGGGTGAAAACTGCAACTACCCAAAATTGGGTTGTCCTTTACTCAATCGTTTGGGTTAGAATTTCTGTTAAATCCAACCCAAACGGGTGGTCATACCAGACTAAATTTAATTTGGTCTTGTATGACCACACGTTTTGGTTGAATTTAACAGAAATTCTAACCCAAACAATTGGGTAAAGGACAACCCAATTTTGGGTAGTTGCAGTTTTCACCCTTCCTTGGGTAAACTTAAGGCCAAAAAAAAAAAAAGTCTCCGTTTTCTGGTATGCGCGCGCGTCGCTGTAGCCATGCGCGTCGGCAAAATGAAAAAGTTTTTTTTTTCAATACAAGATGATGTTTCAAAACCGCCAAACTCACTGGTTTGACTGGAATTCTGCTGCTGCACAATTTTAACGTGTTTTTAGAAGGGGTTATGATCGAGAATAAGATTTATGTGGCCTCTCTGGACTCCCATATATTTGCACTAAGTTTAGTCGGGCACCATTTGCAGTCATCAGCCGACATAATTTTGAAGCCAAAAAAAAAAAAAACCAGGTAAAAAAAAAAAAAAAGCCGCGTCGCCGCACCACTTTTGGGGCAAACTCCATACCAGAAACCGGAGACTTTTTTTGTGGCCTAACCCAGGCAATTTTTCAGTGCATATCACCCCCCCCCCTTTACCTGGCTATATCCGCCCCTGTTCATTCTTTTACTGCGCAATAATTTGCAGCTCGCCCGATGATTTTGCGTAGGATATGGAGTCCAATTTTCACGCTATACCGTTTTTACCAAACACTGTTTACAACACTACATGTATTGTAGCCTGTAATACACTTGCAGAAAACTCATCAAACATCAATTTACCTGTTCTCGGGACTGGCAATATCTGGCACTATATATCTTTTAAAAAAGGTATCGATCGTCTAAAAAGGAGGCCTGCAAATAGGCCCGTATAATATTCCTTGCTTCATGTGTAACGTTACCGTACGTGTACTCAATGTCTGGGTACTGCCTTTATTAACGCATGACCTTCTTCACTTGCCTAACCTCTTTTTATATAGCGAGCTTCAAATTGTATGCTTCCTAACGTGGCGTACTTCGACGTTTCCCCCGACTTTCCTCATGCAGTGTTGCCAAACTTCATTCTTGACAAACTTCTAATTCAGTCGGTTAAATACTGATACTTTAATCTTAATAATACTTGCTGTTGAACGTAACAATTTCAGTGTCATGAAATTAAAGTCCGAATTA